TACTCTATGAATCAATTTATATACAAAACACCAAACCAACAAACCAAGAGTCTTGGAAGGAGTGTGTCGAGTGATGACATGTTATAAATCCCATTCGTTAAATATGAGGCTTGTTGGCATATAGTGCAAGGCTCTTCATTATCTGAAATCACAATTGTGTCAATAGAAACTCCCTATTTGTCATCATTATCTCGTTAAAACTAAACAATAGAACACAACACAAACGATTTTCTGTGCAGCAAAAATATTGTTCATAACAGTAATGAAGGTTGGGGCGGCATTGAGTGGTGTTGATATCGCGACTATCTTTTTGTGAAGGGTTGGGTTGCTTTTCGAGTAGCTATTAATCCCTATTTGTAATTTCACTTGTCGTTGAATTGACATAAAAGTAACAAACGACACATTGCGGAAGACATCGCGGCTGACAAGTTCGGCCGCTTGGCGTCGAACTTTTCTGTAAGTACTTGTTTAACGCCATTTGCGATGTTTTCGAAGAGATGATCCTTAGTGTCGACATACACTGTTTTCCCTGCAAATATTTGGAGGAAGACAAACGACATGTCGTGGATTTCTTTAAACACTTTAACAAACGCGGATATCGTCTGCACGTATTGCGATATTTTATCGACATGTGTGGTGAAGTATGTTGCGTCGAGAAGAATGCCGCATATCATTGCTTTGCTCTCCTCCATCAAGTATTAAATGTATTATTAAGTTTTAGTTCTTTTTACTATACCAAATGACTATAGTTTGGTTCTTCACAAAAAGTGAACTTGGAAGAACTTCAAAAATAAAAGGAACATGGAGGATTCCGGTCTTCATCTTCCCGTCGATGTTATACCATTTCACAACGATGGCTTCCCAGATAAGCCCCGGCTTATTAAAAGTGTTGGCGACTCGTTATTGATATTAAGCAGTAAAGATGTGGTGATATACCACAACTATACATTGACGTACTATAACAAAGAGTTTAAAGACATATTTATTGGTGGCGACATAGACAAATATGGGCGGTGTGTAATTTGTACTTCGGACTTCAGAATAAAGTTGATGCGCCCGCGCGATTTGGGATACGACGAGATCGATGTAAACTTTTTTCTGCCAACGGAACTGAAACAACGGAAGTGTAGAATTGGCGGAGTGTCTATATACCACGTCGAGTCGTTTGAGATTAGAGTGTTAGTGTACACCACTGACAAATCGATTTTCATGTTATCTTTCTTCACGAATCAGACACCGATCAATGCAAAAAGTGAAGTTGTTTATGTCACAACAGAACTTAAAGGGTTTTGGTCTTCTTTTGGTACTGTTGAAACGGCCGACAGTGTTGTTGTATTCTGTAGTGACAACGGGGAGTTAGGTCGAATTATTTTTGATCGTCGATGGAATGGAAATTATGAAAAAATAGAGAGGATGGAGTTTAAGCAGAAGAGCGACGACTTTTTGTCTGTTCTTAAAGATGAGGAGGGGTATAATGTTGTGTGGAATACTGGGGAGTTGGATAATGTTGGCCTTACCACGAAAAAGTTGAAATATCGAATGAGCGTGTCGTACGATAACGTGCACAAAATGACAAGGAGAAGTAATGTGATGAAACCGTTTGAAAAAGAAGTCACCTTGTCCTCATATATAATAAGTTTAAAACAGGAGGGTACTGAACTGATTGATGAAGAGAGTGGAAGGGTAATGAAATTGTGGACTGAAGGTAAGAGCAAGTGGATGTGTGGTGATGGGAAAACCGTCTGGGTCTTGACCGAGTCGAATTTGTATCGAATTTTTGAGAAATCGGAGAGTCGAATAGAAGAATTGAAAAACATTGAAGGACTTGAGTGTTTAAGTTATGTAAGGACAGATGAAGAAGTCTTGAAACTGATTGAAAATGAATATGAAGTGACTCAAAGTTCGAATTTGAAGAAGAGAGTTGTGTTATACTGTATGGAAATATTGATCAGCGTGCGAATATTAATGGCAAAAGAACATACCAAAGAACAAGCTTCAAA